TGCACCTTCCCCCAACATTTCAGTTGAGATTGATAACACAACTATCCAGACCTCCCCTCATGCCAAGGTCCTAGGTGTCATCCTTGACTCGGACATCGCCTTTCTTCCCCACATCCAGTCACTATCCAAGTCCTGCCGCCTTCATCTTCGTAACATCTCCAAAATACGCCCCTTCCTCACCAAGGAAACCGCAAAACTACTAATCCACTCCCTTGTTATATCTCGTCTTGACTATTGCAACTCCCTCATCATTGGCCTTCCACTACACAGGATATCCCCCCTTCAGTCTATCAGGAATGCAGCTGCTAGACTCATTCACTTGACCAGCCGCTCAGTGTCTGCAACCCCCCTCTGTCAATAACTACACTGGCTTCCACTCGCCCAGAGGATAAAATTCAAAATATTAACAGTCACTTATAAAGCCATCCACAACTCTGCCCCCGGATATATCTCAGACCTTGTCTCAAAATAGCACCCTAACGGTCCACTCCGCTCTTCCCTAGACCTCCTGCTTTCCAGCTCCCTAGTCAACTCCTCCCATACTCGCCTCCAGGACTTCTCTAGAGTCTCTCCCATCCTCTGGAAGTCTTTACCCCAACCTGTCCGTCTATCTCCCACCTTGACTGTCTTTAGGAGTTTCCTAAAGACTCATCTCTTCAGGGAAGCCTATCCCACCTCAACCTAACCACTGAACCATCACATTCTCAAATAATTCATCCCCTCACAGCTACCTCCTCATGTATCATTTCCCCCTCCTCTTTTAGATTATAAGCCCTCAGGGGCAGGGCCCTCCTTACCATCTTGTCTTGTATTCTAATTGTAATGTCTTCCTTACATTGTAAAGTGCTGGGCAAACTGTTGGCGCTATATAAATACTATGTAATAATAATAATAATGTGGCCTGCACTAGCGTGGTATGGCCAATAAAACTAAATAAGGCTCTTGCTAGAATGGTATGGCCAATAAAACTAAATAAGGCTCTTGCTAGAATGGTATGGCCAATAAAACAAAATATTAATCAGTAGAAGACTAAGGTTACAATAAATTACCTTTCCACAGCACTTTGCCTTGTCAATGATTTTTAATGCAAACTCTTTTCCAGTTGACCTGTAAAATAGATCAGTTCAATAATGCTATGTGTTACATATACAGATGCAGAAAATACAGAATAATAACAGCTGTAAAGCAAGAATGCTTAAAAAAACGAAAATGCACTATTTTTTATGTTTACTTTTTAAACCTGTAAAAGAACTTCCATTAATTATCACTTCTAAATTATTCTGTGTTAAAAGCTCAATCTTACCAACTCACATTTTCTTTATAAAACAGTTGGTTTTGACAATCACTTTTCTATAAATAGGCATAACTTTAAAACCAATTAAAAACTTGTATGTGAAGTTGGATATTTTTCTATTGTTTACAGTCATTTAACAATATCAAATTATTATTGTGGTGACAAGAAGGCAACTTGGCCAGCGATGTCCTAAATAATCTATGCTGATTATAAACAGAAGTTAAAGTGACATTAAACCCTCAGATTTTTTAACATAAACCAATACTGTAATGTGTGTCTTACTGTAATCCATGGTTGTTTCCCTTCTCCCTGCTTCTCTTTCTTTTAAATCTGTATCTGTTCTCATGCTGGGCAGAACTTCTGTTTTGCAGCAGACTGCCTTGTCTCTGAAATGGATACATGGTGTCTGTGTGTAGGTTTGCAACCTGAGCCAGCACTACAGGAAGAGGCACTCAGCTGCAAAGGGAAGTTCTCCCCCAGCATGAGAAGACATGAGGATTTAAAAGGAAAAGCAGGAAAGAGAAGGGAAACAAACATGGATTACAGTAAGGCACACATTACAGTATTGGTTTATGTTAAAAAATCTGAGGGTTTAATGTCACTTTAATGTTACTTCCACAATGAACTCAGCTGCAAAAAGTATAGAGCAGATCTACACGACAAGTATATTATTAATACATTCCATACAAAATGTAGAAAGTACACCCAATTCACCGTTGGGTCTGTTCACACTATAACGCAAGCAAGAATGTTTATTATGCTAATGCATATTGCCATGCAATTCAAATGTCCCACATACTGAAGAATTATGGTCAACTGACTTGACTAGGACGCACAGGTCAATACATTCTAAAATAGACCATGTCAGAAAGTGCCGCAATGCAGCGTGTATCCATAAGAAGATGTTCCATTTGAATGCCTTGGTTTCTGCATTACCCTACATTTTGATACGAAATAGGAACAAACCCTCAGCATGAATTTCCTCTAATCCACTGAGGTAAGGACAAATGCGGCTTTATGGGAATTGTTCTCAGACAAGTACTGACCAAGTAGGTATCTTAAGCTTTAATTGGCAATTTTGTCACTTTAAAAAATACTACCTTCAAAAAGAGGAAAGAGAACAAAAACTATTACAATGAAACGTTCCCACCTTTCAACACATTCCTTTACAACTGCAAAGTTGCCATCTCCAATCACTTTGCCTATTTTATATTTTTCCAGGATTATGGAAGAATCAGCAGTAGTATTTCCATTCAGTCCTAAGAAAAAGGAAGACATGTTACTGACATGTCCACATGTAAATGTTCTAAAAACACCAAGAGAAGATAATTTATTTATATTCCTTGTATGCCATATAAGGTCACCAATTTGTATCTAAATCTTTAAAATTGAACGTTTCAGCCACTACTATAATGCATGTTATTACTTCAAAAGAAGAGAAATTACATGCAACGTGAACTTGCTCCAGAATCTGGCTGCTTCTCTTCAGGAATATAAGGAAGTTCCAAAGGCTTGCACAAACGGTGATCTGGCTGAAAGGTTTCCTAACTCACTCTGCTAGCACACTGAAATTCGGAAATGGGGTTTGCAATGTAGTACCCACACATAGAGATGTTTTACAACATACTGCTCCTAGTAATGGTTCCTCTCTAGTGCTAAATAACACAGGACCGTTTAGGTTTTCTATGTAAGCTGAAAGCTTGCAGCGATAGACTACATTTCTTCCAGCTTGTGTCAGCAGAGCTATATAGTGAACGTAATGTAATGTTCACAACAATGCACCTAAAATAACACATTGATATAAAAAAAAAAGTTTCAGGTGACTGTAAAAATCGAAGTTACTAAGTGGGTTTTCACCTTCTAGAAGTAGAAAAAGTTAGTCTGTGAATCTGTCAAAGCATCTGAGAATCAGATAGAACTCAGTGTAATGATCAATATCTACCTGCAACTAGTAACTGTAACCCAGTCTGATGTGTATGTTTAGGTATACAAGTAGCATGCCATTAAGAAAGCAGCCTTTTGTAGTACTATAATCTTCTGATAATATCCATTAATAATAGGATAATCATCTATACAAAAAAAGTTCTAGACCTGTGATTTGAACAGGTTCAGTCAACAATTGCACAGTGTGTGGAAAACAAGTGACACATCTGTTGTTTAGACATATTGAAGTGTCAGACATATTGTAAATGTCAGAAGAAAAAACAAAAAATAGATGTTTCTGAGTTAGGGACTTTATGGCACCCTTGACAACTGTCAAGTATGTATGATGTATGGCTACCTTTACTGAGTTTGATCCTTTCCTCTTAGCTGTAATAAAACAGGGTAAACCAGAGATAACAACAAAAATGCTACTATTACAATTCTACTCTACGGGATTAAACTTGGCCATAAGGAGTTTACAACATTATTGGTGGGCCAGAATGTTCTTCTCACTTTGCTTCCCCACCCAACCTACCTTCAGGACTGTTCACATCAGGAAGACCATTGACATTAGAGATGGATCCAGAGTGAGGGGACATCTAAACAGAACAGAACTCTTGTTATTATAATGTTCCTCATTTATATTATTACACTACTTTATGTTTACGTTTCCACAATTTGAAAATCTGGGCATACTCTGAATTGCAAAGAGTCCATACTGCCTGCAGATTCCAGCAAGCAGAAGAACAAACAAGAAGATGGAGAGTACATGAATGGCAAACAGCTGTAATCATGTGGATAATCCTGGCGATTAGGAAACGTAGAGCAAATAAACTAATAGAACAAAACAGTATTTATTACATAAATATATCAGTATTTCGAAGCTTTTCTATGATTTTGTATAACCACCTAGATTTCTATTCTGGTAAATCATCATGACATCTGAACTTTGTCAGGGGCAGCGCCATGATTAGGTGGACAAGACTGGCCACAAGGCTTACATGAAATATGACTAGATGGTTAGTCACATATTTATTTATAAGGGAACACAATTTAATACAGTAAAATGCATTAATGGTGTAAACATTATAATAGAGGTTCCTGGTATGTAATATGTTTTTAAACCATTAAAGTGGAATAATACAACATAAAGAAGTTTTTCCCAAAATACATTTTTTTTGAGGATCAATAAAAAATGTTGCGTAGGTTACAGTGGAAGTGACTACAGAAAGATATCACATTACAATAGGAATGGGACCCAATAACAAATAAGTTTTACTGCCATTGTGGCAATTGCAAAGCATAACTTCCCTTTCTTAGCCTGTTGTACATATCTTATCGAGTCCACAGAAGAAAGATCATTGGTTCAATTTAGAACATAAAAAGTTGTACCATGGTTAAAATGGTTATGACATTGTATATATTATTAATACAATAATTCCCCTGTTATTTAGAAGGAAAGAGGGACAGAGGGATTTGGTTCCAGGGACAACCTATTTGGTTGACAGTCCCTTCAAAAATCAATTTTCATGGACGAAAAATTTTAGGCCCCCTTTTTCCCCTGACTTGGCTTTTCCAAAGTTCTCTGCAGTAGACTGCTTTCCTCTAAAGTCCTGCAATAGTGCCTGCATCTTCACCATAGAAGGGAAGAAATTCTTTCACAAGACAAAGTGCTGGAGTGAATCATTATCTAACCTTTTAAAGTGTGTCTTTACCCAAAACTTTCTTTGGTTTAAATACATAAGAACTCCTGTCAGGTTTTTCTGCTGTCGGAGGCTCCAAGAGAGATCCCTTTGCTTCCTGTCTGGTAAACAAGTGAGGGGAAATATTTCTAACAACAATACAGACAGAAGCAAAAATTATTTTTAGGGTTAAGTAGGCAAATGCTAGAACATCTGTCAGCTTTTATTGTCATCTGTTTCCCTGCGGCAGATTTTCACTCACTTCTTGTCTGGTAACGGTTGTCCCCAGAACAGAAAGTAAAGGTAAAGTAAAAGGTAAATCTCTCTTACAGAGTCTTGGATAGCAGTAAAATCTGATAGGGGTTCTAACCTTCCCCATTCTATCCAAATCTAAAAAAAAGTTTTTGGTATAGATACATTTAACTCAAAAAGTGGCAACTATGGACCCTCTACAGATAGCTATCTCAACAATCTATGGGCACCATCAGAACCTGCCAGATACACCCAGCAACCAATATCTGGTGGATATAGTGGATGACTGTGCCATCATCTTCGATGTGATGTCACTCATCTGACATTGTGAATATTCCCCTTTGCTCCTACCCTGAGATCTGCGTAAAATGCTATGTAGGGAGGTGAAGTAGGAGGCGGGTCAGCACAGACTCTCTTAGACACTCCCAGAAGAGAAGGCTATGATATGGCAAACGGAGGGGAACCTTTGGCTGTTCCAGGAAATTGACTCTTCCTGGAAATGTAAAATTTACTAGCAAGTTTAAATGCACATTGCAAGTGAATATTTTTATTATTATTAGTATTATTACTATACAGGATTTATATAGCGCCAACAGTTTGTACAGCACTTTACAAAATGAGGGAGACAGCACAGTTCCAATACAATTTCAGTAAAATAGGGTTAGGAGGGCCCTGCTTGTGAGAGCTTACAATTTAGGAGGAGGGGCAAGTGATGCAAAAGGTAGTATTTGTTTAGACTGAGTTAGTGGAAGAATTAAAAGGATAGTTATGTTGAGGTGGGATAGGCTTCCCGGCAGAGGGGGCGGCAGACAATGAACGGTTGGTAATGTGAATGAGTCTGGCAGCAGCATCCATAATAAAATGACGGGGGGATAGCCTGTTTAGTGGTAGGCCAACAAAGAGGAAGTTACAGTGCTGTAAGTCAGGCAGTACTGCAATCTCCTATAGTTCCAGTTACCCTTTTAATGTTTCACCCTCTGATGTGCACAATATCTTAATGGGGAAACTGAACCTGCAGAGGGTAATTTGTCAACTCCTCATGTCTGGTACTGATCGGAATGTAGCTGAGAATATCAGAAACTTACTGGTCTGCTATTTATAAAACTACTTGAATTTATTTTATTAATTCTCTTCACAGAATGTAGAGAAAACATTAGACTGAATGTATTGCTCGTCAGTACAAGGTAACTGTGAACCTGGGATCTAATGCCATAGTTGTAACATCATGCTACTGCATTATAACTAACTGAAAATTCTAAGTTTCCAGTTACAAACAGTCCTAGTGAACGTAGCTGCAGATGAGAGCAGACGTAGGAGGACCATCATCTGTGTGTGACCTCTGTACACTTGGAAAGTGGCTTATTTGTTACTTTTCAGAATCAAGCTGTCAAAAATTCACTCTGAATTATATGTGTGGGAAGAAATGAAGGGTTCAAGACTGTAAATACCACTTAGCTTTCAAACATTACAATACAGCAAAATGTGATATATTTTTATATTCAATGTCTCCTAAAAGTGTTGCACTGTGGTTACTTTAAATGCTGTTAACTTTTTAATGAAACAATGATTAAAGTTGTATTTAAATGACCTGCTACTACTGTCATTCATTTGTAAAATGTTTTTATTATATTTGTTGACTTTTTTTCCCCCAGTATAGTATGGGTGTTTTTACTGTTTTAATATTGCTCTGCTAGTTTTGTACAATCAACTTTAGATTTACAAAAACTAAGTATATGAGGGCATTTGTTTCTTTGTGTTTCCATGCTCATAGAACATGCTATGTGTCCTCTTATTGCAGAGACTTTTCCACATCCGGTATTAGGGCCTGGTCATTAGGGGTTCTTGCAGCAGGCCCTGGGGCACAGCATAGGGTTGTCATTGACACATATAGCATGCACTTCTGTGCAATGGTCTCCAGTACTCCTTCTTAGAACTAACACTAAAGGCAATTTTTTAATAATGGAGTAGACTGGAAATGTCTGCATCAATTGACTTCATCAGTCATTACTGGGATGACAGTATTGATTTGTCACAGGCAAGCTATTTGTTAACAGCTACTAATGACTCTAATGTCTTCATTCACCTCCTGTTCATAAGTTCACCTTTGGTGACACAAGACATGTACAGTAACACTGCCATAAATGCTCTCCCCATGCCTTAAATCTTGTTGAGGTGTTCTTAATTACAGAGAAATGCTGTCATTGACTATAGAATGCCTTTATATTTTAAAGTAGGGACAGGGCCGGCGCTAGCGCAAGGCAACATGGGCACTTGCCTTACGGCGCCAGGGAACAGGGCGGAAAATTGACAGTGATAGTCGCCCGATCGAGACCAGTGTGTGGGCTACTTGTTTTTAAAAGCAGGTTTAATTATCTGATCCCTGCTTCCCGGCGGCCAGTGCTCTCATGTCTCCACTCCACCCTAGCTGTGGAATTCCCTTTGGTGTCCTCATGTCTAATCCAAGACTATGGACCTGCATTAGAGGTGATGATGTCAGCGGGCCTCCAACAGCTGATATTGGGGGGAGGGAAGCTGCAGGCGCCAGTCTTGAAGCCAGTGGAATTGGGTAAGTAAGTAAAACTGCTTTAAAGAATCTCCCTAGACAAAAATGAGCAGTTAACGCTTGCAGCCCCACTTTTTATTCAAAGATAAGCTTTGAAGCTGGACTCCATGCCGTTTTAAAAAACACAAATTAATGAATCTCTTTAATCATTAATACATCTTTACATGTCTTTTTTAATGCAGGCAGTGTAAGTACCTGATTTTGACTTGGTGTCAGCCTTTTGCAATCCCTTTACAGCCTAGTTCAGATCGGGAGAGGGAGAAGCAGCACAATAAGCCAGTCCGATAGAAAGAGAGAGCAGAGTAACAGGGAGATGAGCTCATCAGTGTGTTGCGTCCATTGTCATTGTACAGTGGGGGAGGGACAAGACCTATAAGTGTTACTGAACTGCAACAGAGAAAAATCAGGTCTTTTGCCCTGCCATACAGCACCCGTGTTGGACAAAAATACAAATCCTTCAGCAGTTAAAAAACTCCCATAAATATATTAAATGTCTGTATTTAGCCATTTGCCTGGAGTTTAGCTTTAAGATATCTTTTTAATCTTGGTTGTGCCATATTTGCTGTTCTAATTCATTATCTTTCAGTAATAAATATGTCTGTTCTCTGAAAACAGTGCTATTTTTTCTGGAAGACTTCCCATTCTACAGTTATGTAAACTTGTCCTGACATTGTATGAAAAACAGCCAGAAGGATTTTGAACGCTACAAAAAAACGACAACCACGCATCTTACAAAGCAGATAATGACGGTGGCCATGGTAAAGACCTCCACTCCACTACAGTGCACACAGGTGACCTTTTGTTTTATAGAAAAAAAAGTTGACTAGCATACATTTGGACTGAAAACATTTACAAAGCAAGCAAAACTGTTCTGACAAGCAAAAACATATGATTTATAGCAATGCTGACACCATAAATATCCCTTGTTTAAGCATGTTATCAATACAAATTCAAAAAAAAGAAAAAACAGGGAGGGAAAACTCTTAAGAACATGCTATCAAAACCCACCATTTTAAAAAGGGTAGCATTGTGCCTCAGTGGTAATTACAATAGGTATACAGTATTCTAAAGGTTTAAACAGCAAAAGACAGTAAAGAAATGACAAGGAAAGATATAAATGATAAGGAAAGCAAATGCAGTTTTATTCCGTACAAAATGCAATGTGGGTACAGAGCTGGCAGAAAAAGCGAAAAACAGTAAGGTTTTGGCCCTTTCATTTCATGGACCCACAGCACCTAAATTAGAACTGTGGTCAGGCTATGGGCATTCATATATTTACATATTCTTAACAAGCTTTAAAAAAAATCCCAAAAAGCACCAACTGACTCCTGTAGTTGCAGTCACTCTGGAGTAAATAATTCACAAATTTTGCAGTGTGTCCTTCTCAGTTTTATTTCTACTTTCTCTCCATAGCTCACCTCCCCTTCCCAACAGTGACTTGGCAGCCTACCAACTTTCTAATATCTTACATAAACAAGAGGGAGGAGAGAAGAGTGCTGCAACCCAACTCGAAGGACTGTACCGCTACTATTGGGAACTTTCGGGAAGAAATGCTGCTTAGTGGCTGTAACTGAGTTCTGTTAGGGCTTATTCTTAAAACTTTTTTTACTGCATTCAAATATTTACTGTTAATAATATTTTAATGTCCAAAGCCTGGCCATAGTTCTACATGAACTCTTTTGCTGCCGCCACCGCCGTAATAGTGGTATTGACATGTAAACATTTGTTTATATTTGTTAACTTTTTTTTTAGCTGGCAGTGCCCAGGACCTCCATAGTGGGTGTCTGTGCTGTATGACTTCATTCTTACCTTCAGGCCACGGAAACTTCCTGGACTGGTTGGAGATGAACAGGAGGATTTTGTGGATTTTGGAGTGGATAACTGGCTGCTTGGTGTTCCGTTTACTATAACACAAAAGTTATAGATATTAAAGAAAGTCTGATATACCATTATAAACTACACTCTCCAGTTTCAATTACAAAAAAAATTACAACAAAGTTTGAAATCTAGGATGACATCAATTATATGTACCAGGCAGGAAGGTTTGCATTTGCCAGAAGTGTTTGACCAGATACAATATATAGTTGTGAACTTCACTGCCCACAATGCCCGTAATGCCCTTTGTATACACTTTAAGCCAGGCTCCTAATGGTGTACTGGGAAAAAATGTTGACAACATATACGTATACCGCTGTTCCTTTCAGACTTAACTACATTTGCCATGCGCGATGTGACTGTGAGCCGATGAGCTTTATGTGCCAAGGATGATGCTTAGTCCCATTCCTGCATCAGTATTTATGTTAGGAGACTAAACAAATTTTGATATCATCCTGTTCTGTTCCTCTGTTCATTTTAACCACTTTAGCCATTTCTCATTGTCATTTCGATCTAATGAAAGTGAACTCTATTTGAAGCACTTTGCATATCATCAGTGCTCTTATTAAATCCCGTAAATTTAATGTACTTAACTACATTAGAAACACATACATAGTGCTCAGCATAAATGAGCACACCCCTTTGAACAGTAAGATTTTAATCAGTATCTCAGTGGACGCAATAACAATTTCCCAAATTTTTACAAAACTGAGTTTTATAGAACATTTGTTTAGGTCACTACATGAAAGTAAGGTTAACAATATAACTTAGATTACAGAATCTTCAGTTTTACTCAAATTAGGTGAAGCAAAAATTAATGCACCCCACAACAAAAACAACTACATTTAGTATTTTATGTGATTTGTAAGAACAACACCAAGTCTTCTTGGCATGGAATGAACAAGTTGGCGACATATTGCAACATCTTTTTCCAATCTTCAAGAACGACCTCTTTTAGAGCCTGGATGATGGATGAAGAGTGATGCTCAACTTGTCTCTTCAGAATTCCCCATTGGTGTTCGATTGGGTTCAGATCAGGAGACATACTTGGCCACTGAATCACTTTCACCCTGTTTTTCTTCAGAAATGGGCAGCAGAGTGGCGTAGTGGTTAGCGCTTCTGCCTTGCAACACTAGGGGTCCCTGGTTTGAATCCCGGCAAGGTCACTATCTGCAAAGAAGTTTGCATGTTCTGCCTGTACTTGCGTGGGTTTCCTCCGGGTACTCCGGTTTCCTCCCACACTCCAAAGACATGCTGGAAGGTTAATTGGCTCCTGTCTAAATTGGCCCTGTATGTGAGAGGGGGACCTTAGATTGTAAGCTCCTTGAGGGCAGGGACTGATGTGAATGTGCAACTATGTAAAGCGCTGCGTAAATTGTCGGCGCTATATAAAATACCTGTAATAATAATAAAGAAATACAACAGTGGCCTTAGATGTGTGTTTTGGATCATTGTCATGTTGGGAAAGTGCACGATGACCAAGGACACGGAGTGATGGTATCTTGTCTTTCAATATAGATCTTGCAGCACTAGGGGATCTTGCAGCACTATGGATCTTGTCTTTCAATATAGAGCAGTACATCTGTGAATTCACGATACCATCAATGAAATGCGGCTCACTGACACCAGCAGCACTCATGCAACCACAATGTTTCACTGTAGACACCACGCATTTTTCTTTGTACTCCTCACCTTTGCGACGCCATACAGTTTTGAAGCCACCTGTTTCAAAAACACTGATCTAGGTCTCATCACTCCAGAGTACAGAGTCCCAGTAGTCTTCTTTTTCAGCATGGACCCTGGCAAATTGTAGGCAGGCTTTTTTGTGCATGGGCTTTAATAATGTGTCACGGGAAACATTAACTCCAGTTTGGCTTTCTAATTCTTTAGCTAACTGCAGTGAACTTGCATTGTGATTTTCTTCAACACTTCTCATCAGAAGATGCTTCTGTCGAGGTGTTAACTTCCATGGACGGCCTGTGAGATGGTTGCAGTTCCATCTTTGTTACATTTTTTATCACTTTTGCTACATTATTCTGACTGGTAAGTAAAGCTTTGCTGATCTTCTTGTAGCCTTCACCTTTCTTGTGTAAATAAATTATTTTCTTTCTCAGGCCTTGTGACATTTCTCTTCCATGTGGTGCCATTGCTGACAGCAAAAAATGGGAAGGGGCTTTCTATTATACTTTAAGCAATTGGGCAAGATGTTACATGGAACTGACTGGTGATAAAAGCCATAAGTCACCTACATTGGTTACAGAGCTCTAAGAGCATTACACACGAGACATTTCAAGGAATGTTTCAGTAACAAAAGGAATGATCCTTTCATTGCACAGACATCAAAGAACATACAGTAAAAACTAGAATAAAATTGGGTTAATATCATTACTATGATTGCCAGATGTTTACCCAACAATGACCAGTCCTGGGGCATATGCATGCAATTTGTTTACTGCTCAATTTCACTGCTCCCTGATTAATGTGCTTTGCAAAATCAAGCACAAAAGAATATATATCATAATTGTGATGATTTTGTACAAATAAATAAGATTGGTTGAAAAAGAAGTGCATTTCTCATGTATTTCTTGAGGTGTGTATCTAGTAATGCATTATTTATGTACTCTAGAGGGACACAAGATGACCCTGAAGATGTGGTAGATATGCCTGGACTGTGATCAACTAGTGTGAATGAGCTGAGCGAGAAGACTGATGTGTAAATTGGGAAAAGCAAACAACTCAAACTAGTGAGAGAGTAAGGAGAAATAATACTGTTTTTATCATCCATAAAAGAATAAAACACTCACAGGAACTGCACCACTGCAGCGTGCTGACTACAAGGAAAGAAACTATAAATATAGTAGATAAACTACTACCAAAGCATCCCGTACAAGATGATTTGCACCCCTACGCACTACAAAACGGGCCACGCCTGAAAAGGTACATGTACTACTTTGGGCCGTTTTTGTTGCGCGTTTCCATTGGGATACAGCCAAGTAGCCCTCACGATTCGTCTACTGCGTGACAGACGCTCATATGCAGTACGCCTAGGTGTGAACCAGGGCTTAGTGTTGCATGTTTGACACATATTGTTAGATATTTTTTTTAAACATTGTTTTATGAATAGATGTGTGTGTGCGTAGACAGTTTTGATATGAAATAAAATGTAGTCAATGTACAGGGGTGTGGCTGTTCTTGTATGTGATCCTTTGGAAGTGAGAATAAAACGTTATTCCTCAACCCCTTTGTGACTGCAATATGTTTTTATGGGTTCATGCGCACAGTTGAAAAAAAATCCCACTAGATTTTTAACAGTAGAGCGTTTTTTTGTTTTTATGGATCTCAACACAGGTTTATTGTTTTCTATGGGTCCATGCACACAACTGCGCAGAGATCAGTAAACTTGAGCTGCTTTCAGATCTGGAAAAAAAAAATCAAAAAATCTGTATCCACAGCCCTGTGTATGGACCGTATTGTATACTGTAGGCATGTAAACATTTGTGCTCACATGTATGATGTCCACCGCATGATATAACAATAAAATGTAAAGGGCATTTTCAGTAGACTATTTGATCCAATTAAAGCTCTGATTTGTATAGAATTACAAATAACTTCAACTAGAATGTGCTTTAAAGATTATCAGAAAGAGGATTATAAAAGGTAAGGCCTGGATTGTAAGGTCCTAAATGCTCAGCTCTGAATAAATGAATGTGTGACATCTGTGGTAGTGGAGACAAGCTACAGACTAAGTGCTCTGGTACCATAAAAAGGAGTTTAGATGTCATGGACAATGCCCCATCTGTATTATTAAACTATTAAACTAACAGGCCATTCAGTCCTCATAGATATCAGTAAAAATGACATTAGAGTGTTCAATTTTCAACACAAACAAAAAAAAAACACAGACTGATAGCTTGCAAAGAGGTAAAGATATCATAGATATCAGTAAAAATGACATTAGATTGTTAAATTTCCAACACAAACAAAAAAACAAAGACTAATAGCTTACAAAGAGGTAAAGCAAAAAACCTAACTTGTATGTGTTTGCTGTGCTAAGATAACATATAGGGGGGATTCATTAAAGCATGCACAACACTTTAATAGTATCGTCCCTTTAAAACCACCTGTGTCTCAGTTTCAGTTGCAGTTCCGTCATGTGCAACAGATTCAGGTAGTTCTTACTACTGCTACTTTAAAACCCTGTTGTGATGGTTGTGACATATTTAAAAAAATTACCGCCAGTTTGCAGATAGGGTAATTGGTGGTAATTAGGACCGACTCTGACCTAGTTTACAGAGAGATCTCGGTGGTCAGAGTGGGGCATGTATGTGTGGGGAAGCTGTCATCAATGTGACAGCTTCCCACTCGTGGTTTATCGGTTGCTATGACACCGAGTTGCCAGCATCTTGGAAAACGCGGCCATATTTGGGTAATGATATCAGCCAGCATCTGTCACCTCTTTGTCTACATTCAACTGTCGGCTGTTGGGGATGAGTCACTGGTTGCTAAGACTTAGCAACCAATTATGTGGCTGAACAGCAGTGAATGGAACCTGATGGGGAAGTTGAGGGACTAGTACCCCATCAGGTCCATTCCACTCGTAACTGACAGCAGGCAGTGATCAGAATCCATATCCGATAGCAGGCTGTCTGCTGGCTATGGAATCCACACACTGCCCGCAGTTATTGATCAGGGGAGAAGACCTGTTGGGCAACTACTTCCTTAGCTTCCCCATTAGTGTCCATCCACCCACACATTAAAACTTCTTGGCAGCTTCACTGCTGTGTGACAGGTTCGGCAGCCATGGCAGATGGTGCCCATTTTCCCACAGGTAGATGAATCTGAAACAAGTACAGACATTTGTCGTGCAGATGCACAATTAAATTGTCGGTGACGCTCTTTATGAATTGCAGGGATAATTTACCTTTACTCTCGTTCTCATAACTCAGCCTCACAGTGTTCCTGAATGTGCCATGTAAAGCAGCCAGTAAATGGTGCAGCTGAATAGCTGATAAAACCCCCATCCAATAAATGAAGAAAAGCGTGCTAGAATGATAAAGCTCAGATGTGCAGAACAGCAGGTTTATGAAGCTAGACAGAGATGTAAATTGGCAGACGGGCTGATGAAGCCAAGAGAGAAAGCCCCAATCTGAATGGCTCACCTGGGGACCTTGCTGTGGAATAGGCACTGGAGTAGTAGCCAGTCCTCCTTACTGCATTCATTTTACAACAAGGGTAAAAACAGCGAGAATACATTAAATCAGTATTATATATCTACATATCTATTTCAAATTAACAACTTTAGTATACCAAGCTGTATTCTCTCCATAGCTGCAGTGATTTTGTTGGGCTTTTTTTATTGAGACATAGATGCAGAAGTCTTCTGAAACCAAATAAATAGTGGATAAATGAAATAACTGTCGATGTTGCCCAAAGCAGCCAACAGTATTCCTTTCACAATGCCATAATTATTTTGATTGGTTGATTTTGCCAACACAGACAGGTATTCACAGACCCTTTAATACATAAAGCTGAATATTTTTAGATAAACTGACATAAAAGTTGCCATATCTCGAGGGTAATAAATCATCCGCTTGTATACCCTACTGACACATGAAACGCCTATTATGCCTATATAGCATGGAAAGATGATGGTTGGTGAAGATCAAAAAAGCCCTAGCTACATCAGTCAACATAAAATGTAGTTTTAGTTATCAAAATGCAAAAAAAAACCAAAAACAAAACAGACGAAAAAAATAGTTTTTCAATACATTTTTAATAGCGGGCACGTGACAGCTATGATTCTTTCTGGTCTTCCTGAGTAGTGCTGTGGGCAGAGATGTACAGCAACGCTTCTGCTCATGTGATAATGATCTGAGGACTACATCTCCCATCAACTTTTCCAGCCTTCCCCCTGCTATAGGCAAAGCCAGGTGGGTAACTGAAAGCCCTTGTCACTCCCTAAATACAGCTGTGCATGGAGGAAAGGAGGGATACGCATGATGCAACTGGTGGATGGGATCAGCCATATCATGGTGAGAACTTTGTAGAGCAAGAGACTTGCAGTCCAGTGGCAGCAGTGCTCAGCAAAGTGCGACAATGCTATCTGAAATTTAACAGTCAGCATACAGCATTGTCAACCTGAAAAATGAAGTGCCATTTACACAGTGAAACTGGTAGGACCTAGAGGAACTTTTTACATAATATATCGGGATGTAATTCAGTAAAGCTAAAGTGCTTTGCACTTCAATTGCTTGCACTGTCATATTAGCTTGGTCATAGACTTTAAACTCAAAGAGAGGTACTACAAACTATCCTACAGTAATTCTTAAATATTAACTGTAAAAAAGAAAAAATGGCATAAAAATACATCCTTCGGATATACATTTATAAACAAACTCTGGGCCAATATAATTCCCCTTTATGTGCATGGCATGCCTTTGCACACCCATTAAATTATTAAAATTGTTGTTAAATCATCACTGTGCTGCACATATTCTGTGCAGTGAGCAGAGCTGTGGGAGGGACCCAGCAGGCTCCACCCACTACAGGATGCATGTAGAAAACTACAGGGAGGAGGATGCAAGACCAGTCACCCTACACAAACACAGAGTTTCACTGACCAGTCTTTATTACTGACAGCAAGAAAGAGTTGTTCCATGTTGGAGTACAAGTGCCGCTTGTACAGTATTTGGCAAAAACCTGTGTAGACCACATTTTAACTAAGAAGATTAACCTATCATGTCTATTGTTCTTACTTGTTGCTGGAGATTTGCTGCGCCGCGATGCTGATGGACTTTTTGAACCAGACTGTCCTGGAGAGCGGGAATATGATGTTTTTAAAACACGACATTCTACAAAACAAAGATTGGGAATAGAGTTATAGTAAAAAAAACCTGAGAAATGCAGACATGTCACCCTGACATGGCTAGGTTCATAACATGATGAAAGAATGGTGTTATCATGACATATTTGCTACATATACCAGTGGAATCCAGACATCATGCAAAAATATTGAATGTGAATTATAATTACCACTATGATCCAGAACAAAGTCATCCTGTGCATATCGGTATTTATCTGGTCCACAGGCAATAAACACATCATCATCACTGAAGAAATCTTGAAGACACGTAACCTAATGAATTAAATACAATAAATCAATATTTTAGATGTTTCAAACACAGTTATAAGAAACGTATTCTTCCTGATCATTATGAATCATAAAAGCCACAACCACACAAACATTCATTGTCTGGTTTGTGTGGTTGTGACCTCTCTCTGGATGAACACTTTTACACTGTAGCTAAAAAGTATCTATTGTGGTCTATCAGTTTCAATTTAAACACGCAGTGTTGGGATTTGGCCTTGGCTATATTCTGAAATGTAACATTGTCACTTAGGTGACCCTGAGATTTATCTAGAATAATGCAGGCCATTTATTTTTTTAGCCCTTTACAAGGCAGCTGTAACAAAAAAAGAATTATGCTGTTTGGTCAAACATATAAGCAATACTTTCGGAGGTTATTTTTGAAGAAAACATTCCGGAACCTTATTATAATATGGTATAAACTTTACATACCAATGACCCACTGGCTGGATGGTTTCCCTATGATAAAACAGTGGTAGAGCCAGACAGACTAGGCTGTAGGCTGTAGTTAGCTTTTCAGAATATGTGTCACCACTGCAAACCAACAAAAATAGCATTGTGTGAAATCCTTTAAGGCTGCTTGCAGTTATGAGTTCTTCTATGCTGTATCAGGGAGCCTTGCCAGTACTTTCCACCTGTTATATCACAACATTATATCATTATGGGTACTGCCTGATTGTTGTTCAAGCTAAAATACTGTATAATACTATACATTTTTATACATTACATATTTTGGGATATTTTAAACTGCTAAAAATATTTAATATGTATCTAAATTCAAAACAAGAATGTAATATATTGCAGCTTACCAGTGTTTTTCCTGCATTAGTTTCCATTTTTTAGGTTTTTTTTGTCCTGTATTTTCTCCTGGTAAGCCTGCAAATATCACACTTCCTGTCCCTTCATGGCTACACTTATTTTCCCATTGTCTATATGGAGGTAGCCATGGTTGTCACACAACAGGGACTTCAAGCAATGGTTGTCACACAACAGGGACTTCAAGCAAGTCTTTATGGCAAGATCTACAGGCTGGGGTCAGGAGGGGGGAGGTAGAGTTTTGTTTGGGCTTGGGTGAACTCAGGCAAGCTAGGTTCACACCAAGCCCAGCCTCATCACTAGTTGGGGACACTGAAAACTCTGAAAGTCAGGAATTACTGTCTAGCAGGGATCTCACTGTTACAGTTTTCAAAGCATATAAGAAGCCATGGGCTTACTCAGCACACCAATGCTTCACCGGAAGCTAAAAATGTCAATTTTAATTGGAATGACCCTTTAAGAAAGTATGAACTGTACAATTAGCAATAATCTACCAGAATACTTTAAACCTTTGTTCATGTACATAAAAATAGTTTATTGTGACATATTGACAAACATTGGATGTCTTGATATAAGGCACACATGATCATTTCCATGGCAGCAGCAGAGAAAGGAGCTGTTGAGACACCAGGCATATTGTTCTAATAATATTCCTCTGAATTCCACTTTGACAAAAGTAGAAAAAAAAAAACCACAGAGGCAGATTGCCAGCATTTTCTGAAAACAGCTGACTCAATCCAGCTGCACAGTCACAGTGAATACATCAAGAAGCAGTGTGTGGGGCTGTGTAAATGTCCCACCCCAGGGAGCTCAGCAGATCTGCCCAGTTCTTTCAACCCAAACCATGACATTTCACTAACTCTGAACAATATGAGCACAGCACCATGACATTCTAGCTGAGAAATTCCAACAAAACTTCTGAAAACTGAAGTGTGACACACCCATAACATATGAGAAATATGTACAAAAGCTCAACAGGATGTAAAAATCCTTCAGCCTGAACAATATGGATAATAGCAGCTGCAGACCTAGCTTTTCCCTTGTTTCTGCTAAACAGGATGTTACTGGAAAAGCAGGGAAAAAGTCATCAATTTTATGACAAAAAGAAAGGAAGTCCTTCAAAACAGAACTCGTATCATCTGAAATCAATTTGTTTCGATAAGGCATAGGTTTATATATTATGGGGTCTATTTATTACTCTGTACGAAGCTGTTATAAGTCAGCCCCTGTAAGTCAAGATTTATATTTTAATATACAGTATCTCACAGAAGTCACATTTTTTATTATATCATTTCATGTGACGACACAGAAGAAATCTTCTTATAGCCTAGGCCATCTTTATGTAGAGCGACAATTCTTTTTTTTCAGATCCGCAGAGAGTTCTTTGCCATGATGTGCCATGTTGAACTTCCAGTGACCAGTATGAGAGAGTGAGAGCGATAACACCAAAATTTAACACACCTTCTCCCCATTCACACCTGATACCTTGTACCAACGAGTCACATGACACCGGGGAGGGAAAATGGCTAATTGGGCCCAATTTGGACATTTTCACTTAGGGGTGTACTCACTTTTGTTGCCATAGGTTTAGACATTAATGGCTGTGTGTTGAGTTATTTTGAGGGGACAGCAAATGTACACTGATATACAAGCTGTACACTCACTACTTTACATTGTAGCAAAGTGTCATTTCTTCTGTGTCGTCACATGAAATGATATAATAAAATATTTACAAAAATGTGAGAGGTATACTCACTTCTGTGAGACACTGTAAATACATTTGATTTGTAGCTTTTATATCTTACATGGTGATTCACAAAAGGGCGAAGAGTTTGGAGAAGACAGGAGAAGTGAACAATCTAGGTCTACATAGCTGAACTGGAAAAACAGCTGCATTGGAGAATTTTTCCAAATCAGCTATGTTATCCTAGATGGTTCACTTCTCCTCCCTTCTCCAATCTCTTCACCCTTTTGTGAATGACCCTGTTAGTATAGCACAGCAGTATAGCCACAGTGCAAAACTTTGGCCAAGAGAATAAGCATACATTTTTAAAAGGAGAACTATGAGGCGAGTGCTTTTCACTCATACTCATAGTTCTAGCCGACCTGTGACAATGAGGCTGTCACAGGTTGGCTCAGTAGATCGGGAAGTGAGCGGACACCGGTATGATCCTTTCACGGCTCTCTGTCGTGACAGGGGAGTGACTGGAATCCCCCCTCACCTGTCCGATCCTCCAGCGCTGACTGGCGGAACGGACGGGGGAGGGTACAGCTGGCTCTGCCTCTGGATAGGCAGAGCCAGCTGTCACTCACGCAGCTGGGCGGATCCAGACATAATTGTTAAGGGTTAAGGGTTGCCCAAGCTGTAATATTGAAAAATATTTCACACATGACCTTGTGGGTTTGGATGTTGTTTTCCCTTAATAATAAAAACCTTCCTTTAAAAACTGCATGTTGTGTTTACTTGTGTTATCTTTGACTAATATTTACATTTGTTTGATGATCTGAAACATTAACGTGTGACAAACGTGCAAAACAATGAAAAATCAGTAAGGGGGCCAACACTTTTTCACACAACTGTAGATCTGGAAGATATACACAAAGCAGACCAAAATTTAAGTAAGAATACCCAGGCTTCTTATATTTAGACAATATTTATCTATCCAGGTGTTCAGCTTTTTTTTTAAATCAGGTTCTATTTTCTATTAATACATAAAACACAGACAATAGAAAGAACACAGAAAATTGCAGGTAGTTCAGAGCTACAGGTAGATGTCATGTACACAGATAACAAACCATAAACACATTAGGGTGGTGGAGTTTAGCTTTAATGGAAAACATGTACTGTAGCTATCCTGATCATACAGTGTTATATCATACATTGCTGACGTACCATAACCAGTAAAGCACCCAGTTGGAACAATTTGTAAACACTTATCACTATTAAACCAGTGTTTCTGAGCACATCCAGCGCTCATCTTTAAGATTCTTTTATAAATAAAATCCTTTGCTAAGAGTATACAAATAATAACCTTCTTCTGAAAATACTGCTTGCCTGGTTGCCTCTGTCTTAAATACATTCTGTTTCACTGACCCAGAACAAGCAGGGTGATTAGAAGGTCAGAGGTAGAGGTGCATCTACAACAAATTGCGCCCCTGGCATCCCACCCAATTGACCGCCAGAGCGTCCTTGGTTGCTAAGAGCTGGACGAAGAGATGTGCATGGGAGATGGGTGGGGAGAGAAAAAAATCAGCTGTCTCCAAGGGTTAGAGAACTTTCGCTGATCCACTGAGTGGCATACCCTTCCCATCAAGTGGCACCCAGGGCATGTGTACCCTGGACACACCACTGGTCAGAGGGACATCAGAGCTTCTGCATATGTCTCATAATACAAGTCTTCATTAAACAGCCCCCTTGTTTACCAACATGTTTCAGATTTTGGTAGATGCTGGAGAGTTAAACCACGTGATCATTTCCTATATCTATTGGTGAGATCTCAGTGCTGAGTTTTTGGGTCTGCATACATTGCTTTGGGCATTATGAACAAGGTCCACTCCACTGTTTGACTCTTTATTTATTTTATATTATGGAGAATACAGAAACATTCATGAATTGTGACAGTAGAAGAAGAGGAAGTGTCACCAGCACTCCATAGAAGCTAAAAAGATTATTGTAGTTTTATTTGTATTGTGTCCCATTAGTGAAATGTAGCCAACGTTTCGGGAACTCGCAGAGTCGTTTCTTCAAACATTATTTTTGTTATGGTAAAAGTGGGAAAGGGTTAAAACCTCGGTCAGATTTGTATTGCTGTCTGGGTACCCATTGGGGAGTTTCACCTCCTTATTCTTTTTGCTTTATATCTACTACCTCGCAGAAGTGAGGTTTTGTGCAATAGAGATATTCTAGGCCTGTTGAAGAAAAAGTAATTGATATAAAGTTGGAAGATGTGTATTTTGTGTCACATTGACAAAGATATTAAACGGTTTCCTTGGTGTTTTAATGAGAGGTCCTGTTCATTAGCATTTACAAGCACAGCTATTCCCTAGTGAATACATGGAGCTACCAGGGACATCAGCAGAACACAGATTAAGTATTCAAATACTGTATACAATATTACGCACTTATTTTAATGATTTCATGCAAGATTCAGGGCATGGGATTCTGGAGAAGA